CTCTTTCTTTTTCTCATCCTAAAATTAGTAATTAAAATAGCAGGATTTTTTTATCTCTAGTGGATGAGGCTCATTGGTCATTGATAAACACAGTGCATGACGTGAGACAGCAAAACTGGATGTGATGGCCAGAAACACATCGGACTTCCATGTTAATGCAAATAAGGCTGATTTTCATAGAATTGAAATCTCTGAATCTTGGATGCGTGAGTCAGCCTTCCCCAACATGGTACCCTTCAGATATTTTGGATGGCATATCCCTGCATTCCTGGCCACTGACCAGACTGGCTGGAGCTGATGAGCACTGAACTCTGAAACATCTGGAGGGCACCAGGCTGGAGAAGGTTGTGGTAAGCAAGGATTCTCTTCTCTAAGTGCAACTTTTGCTGAAAAGTGAACTTTTCAGGTTCACATCCATAAACATGTACCTCCTATCAAAATCAAAAGCTCAGATTTGGCTGATGTTTTTTATTTCCTGGCCTGTAAAGGAAATGGAAGCTCACATGTAGCAGCCGACTGAGAAAGCTCTGGATCGCCCTTTTACTCCTCCTCCTCATCTGTGTAATACTCCAAGTTGTCATGAAATTCCAGTGCACCAGGTAGGTTCGGTCCCACATAGGATAATACATCTTGTATTAGGCGCACGCGCACACATACGTGCCACTGTGTGCTGATTGCACTTGCTAGCCTACTTTAATCTGCCACCACTAGTTCAGTTTCACCCATCTCCCTGCCAATAACTCCTTTAAGGCAAATTTACATGCATCTTCATGCTTTGATATGCAGAGATTACAAAATATATAAATAACAGCCACTGCTGCTGGGTTGATAATTATTGGATTGCAGCAGGGGAGGAGGAAGGAGTTTAATGCTTTCCTCCTTTGTTCCTCCGAGTTAAAACCTTTTATCCTCTATTATATTTATATCATGTTTTTTCCTGCAAGGAACTCAAGGAACTTACATTATCCACACCTCCTCCATTTTATTGTCACAACAATCCTGTGAGGAAAGCTGTAAAGAGAGTCAGTGACTGGCCCAAACTCACCTAGTGAGTTTCATGGCCAAGGGGTGACTGGAACCTGAACCTCCTGAGTCCTATTGACCAGTCTAACCACTACATCACAGTGGCTCTGTTAAATTTAAAGAATATCTTCACTGGTGACATTCAATGTGTGTGGGATATATGGTACACATAGAAAAAGGAAGGGAAATTCTTCATGCATGTGACTTGGGTGGCAGGAAAGAATCCAAGGAAAGTAAAACAGTGAAAAGTGGTTTTCGAAAAGGCTGAGATATAGTGAAAGCAATCGGCTTGGCAACTAGAGCTGAAGGACTACATTCTGTTTTTAGCAATTGTAGGTATGATTTAAAACTGAAGGAACCATCCATCAAGAAAAGCAGAGCCAACTGCAATTCCTTTCTGGTCCAAATAAGCCCAAATTCTCCCTGTCTTCATCTGGAACATGTACAGAAGAACTCTACCACTCTACAAAACAGAGAGAAAGAAAAAGATGCCAAGATGGATAGGCATGCCATGAAACCAAGCAAGGCATTCAGCAAACCTAAGCTGCTTGATGCAAGTTTTAGCAGTGAGGAGATCTGGCAAAAACAGTTTGCACAGGGTAGTAAGAAAGGGAGGATTGCACATACAATAAAAGGACTTAAGGACTTGAACCACAACACTGAACTGTTCCCTGGAAAAGCCCAGGTTGGGCACGATACAAAAATGACTGCTACAAGAAATGCTGGAACTTCCCAGATCAAGGTGGCGGAGACTAGAAGAGGCTTCCCTACAGATGATCAGACTTCAAGGGCTCAAGCCCCAGGGAAAAGCCACTCTCTCAATGGAATAGTAGTGAGGAAGACTCAGGCGTCTATTCCCCTAAAAGACAAAGGGCTAACAGAACTGGAAGGCACAAAGTCAGCTAGAAGGCCAGAAAAAGTGCTCCTTCCCAAGACTGAAGGAAAAGTGACAGCAGGCATCTCCAGCTCCTCTCAAGGTTCGCAGTGCAAGCCCAAGACCCACGTTGTTTTCCTCAAGGTGCACAAGAGTGCCAGTAGCACCGTCATGAACATTTTGTTCCGTTTTGGTGAGACCCACAACCTCACTTTTGCTTTGCCAGTCAATGGTGCCAGTCAGTTGTTCTATCCGAATTATTTCACAGCAGTAGCTGTGGAGGGGTTCACTCCAGGCAAAGACTCCCCGTTTCACATTATGTGCCATCATATGAGGTTCTTTCAGCCGGAGGTAAGAGCCACAATGTTTATTTGCTCCAATTTCACAGCTGAGTTGTCACTGTTCTGAATATAAATTCTGGAGCAGGGCTGGCCTGACCGTTATGCAGACTGAGGTGGCTGCCCCAGTTTGCAGGTGGGAAACAACAACCCGGAAGGGGTTGGAGGACAGAGTTGTGCACTGCATGTAGCCTGCTCTCCCATCCTAAACCATCCCTCTAAGCCCTCAGGCACAGTGGAGCACAGTCCAATTGCCAGACCTGAAATATAATCCTGCACCCCAGGCACCAAAATGGCTTGGCTTGGCCCTGTTTGTAGGAAAAGGAAACCCAATGGCAAGGGAGAGCTGCTCGAAGTTGGGAGGGACAGACAGGAGGATTAGGAGTGGCAGGATTTGTTTGCAGG